CAAAGCCCAAACTCCATGGCGAGTCTCCTTTTTCAGCCCTGAAAACTTAGTGGAAACAGCTGTGAATTCTGGGGCTGGGGCTCCTCTCCCAGAGCTGCAGGGTCAGGGCTGGGCTGCTTTTCATCAGTAGAGGGAGGGCCCTATTTGCATGTCTCCTGCTATATAGCAGGTTCTGGGGTGAAACGCCTGAGGAGAGGGCAGGGCCCAGACCAGGTGAGAGTGTCCTGAGGGAGTTTGGAGATATTAATAAAATTTTGGCAAATGTAATTTCTTATTAAAACTTTGTTCTGTGATACACCCTTTAAACCTATAACTGTATTTGTATTTTTAATTTAAATACAGTTTTATTGAGGTGCAATGGACCTATGAAAACGGCATATATTAAACCTAGCTAGCACCAATCATCTTATCATGCTGTGTAGTATCAATGTTTTTCCCATGTTAAGATGTAAAATTACCAGCAGAAGCACAGATGGCGGATACAATGTTACCGGAACTCACATGTTGTCAGGGTGAGCCCGGGTATCTGGGCCTGTGTTTCTCACCACTGGGCCCGACTGCTCCCTTAGCCAAGCCCAGCACACGATGGGTCACCCGTAGTGACATTTTCAGAACTTTCTCCTTGTAATGAAAGTGTGGTGTGATGTGTGTGCGCTATTGTGTTTACATAATGAGTGTAAAGAGAAGCACATTTTATCCAGTATTTTCATACATGTCAGACTTTCTTCATGTTAATGTCTATTTTTCCATCATGCCATACTGAACAAATTATCCATTCATTTGTTTGTGACACTCTTCTTGAGATATTGTTGCTGTACGTAAATATTGCATAAAGTGTGCTGTTTAGTAAGTATGCAAGCTGAGCTCGGTGGCACAAACCTGTAGTTTCAGCTACTGAGATGGCAGATGCAGGAGGATTGTTGGGATCACAAGTTGGAGGATACATTGATCTACGATCCCACCACTGCAGTCCAGCCTGGGTCACAGAGTGAGACCAGATGTCTAAGGAGAAAAACAAACAAAATGGAACGTGATTCCACCGGTTCTCACCTGTGCCTCCACAAGAACCATCCAGATAATGAACAAACAATCCACACTTAAGGGTTTCCTTGTGCTCCTCTGCAATTCCTCCTTCCCAATTACTTTCTTCCCTCACCATATTCTGAATCAGTATTTCATATGTATTACTTTAGTTTTGATTTTCAAAAAATTATTATACAGAAATTATATAGTATGTGTTTTATCTGTGTGGCTTCTCCCTCATCTTGTGATACAACCGTGTTGACCCTCAACAGTGTGTTGATCCTAATGATGGATATTATTGCATTAAATTAGCGTGTCGTTACTGTTTATCTGTGTATCTTCTCTATATTTGTGTGTTTTCCAGTTTCTGAGTATTAAACGTAAATGTGCTACTTGGCTTGGAGATGTAGGCATCCTATAAAAATATGTTATTATGGCTGGACGCGGTGGCTCACGCCTGTAATCCCAGCACTTTGGGAGGCCGAGGCGGGTGGATCACAAGGTCAAGAGATCAAGACCAACCTGGTCAAAATGGTGAAACCCTGTCTCTACTAAAAATCCAAAAACTTAGCTGGGCATGGTGGCGCGTGCCTGTCGTCCCAGCTACTCGGGAGGCTGAGGCAGGAGAATTGCCTGCACCCAGGAGGCGGAAATTGCAGTGAGCCGAGATCGCACCATTGCACTCCAGCCTGGGCAACGAGAGCAAAACTCCATCTCAAAAAAAAAATGTTATTATTCTTACAACAATTACCAAATTTAGTCACCTGCAAATTAGTCCATTTTTTTTAAATACAACAGAGTTTTGATGTTATAGGACAAACAAGATGTCTGAAATCTGAAGAGAGATGAGGAATTGGAGGGAGAAAAAACAGGAGCAGAGTATAATCATATCTGGGGCAGAGGCTGCCAAATATCATTTAGGTTAATACAAGACTAAAGTAGACATGTTCATTGGATGGTCTAAATTTGAGTATGATAGGTGAATTATTCTTTAAATTCTCAGACTGTATGCAGTTGAGGAATTTCTCCTGCTACTGAAGTCTTTTTCCTCAGTACTGGGGAACGATCAGAAAATGGGGCAGTTCTGTCTGGGAAAACAAAACAGCAACTACAGCTGAAATGCATCCAACACACTCTGTGTCACCACTGCATTGCAAGAGAAATTATCAGAGGAGGTGAAGCACCGAAACCACTGTTCCAGAGACACCGGAGAGAGCAATAAGAACTAGGAGGGGAGAGAGGAATCCACCAAGGCTGTTTCCAGACCCACCTCCCGTCTTCCCTGAGGAATAACAGCTTTATTCTAAAGGAAAAGGTAGCACAGAGGAAACTGAAGAAATGAGTGGGAAGACACAGTGGCTGCTGAAGGAACATCTGGGGAACAGTGAAGAGACCCTCTTCCCAGGAATGGGAGTAAGATGCATGGATCAGCATCTCACCTGCAGGGGAAACAGGGACACTGGAAGGGCACACCCTGACTCAGGACTGTGATGCCTGCCTGGGTTTGGTTCCCCCAGAAGGACAGAGAATATCACATTCAGTCAACCCTTCCTGCCAGGCTGACAATTCCCATGTCCATGTGGCTCTAGGATGAACTGGGGAAGCTGAAAGATACAGACTCTCTCAGGTCAGCACAAGGATAAGGCCCAAAGCCAAGCAGGAAACAAAACCAAGGTGTCCCTGTGGGAATCTGAGTGTCCGATGGCTGCGGCAGAAATGCACTTTAATTCTGGCAGCCACTGCAAGAATGAGTTTCAAGTCACTGAGTCTCATTGATTAGATTCATGCGATTGCCCACAAGAAAGGCTTAGAAAAGGTAGAGTATAATCATCTACAAAAATCAAAATGTCATAAAATAAAATAATTATCCGATGCAAGAATTCCATAAAGATATTTGTGTCAACCACAATTTTGTAGTAACCTGGATAAGAACTTGGCAACATTTATACCTCCTAACACCACCATGTTGGGCTTAGAATTGCAACACAGGCATTGTGGGAGAAACAAAAATTCAGTCTATAGCAGCACATTTTATTAATCAATAATATTTATTTGCTGTATTTTCTCAGAATAATTCACATTGATTTTTAATGGTTGAGATTTTCATTTTTTATCCAGATGTGATTGTTTCAATGGAAAGGTTGGGGGTCCTCATGCCAGCACTCTGCTAATTAAATAACTCTGTTCCTATTTGTGTTTGAAGCTTCTCCACATTCTGAATGTTTCTCTCTTAAGCCGATTGCCGTGGTGGAATTAATCTGTCCTCCCTCTTTGGTGTCATCACGTGGTTATAAATACACTTCTCCAGGTTTAAGGTAGTGAATCCACCTGTCCTTTACTTGGCTTTATTATGGTACCTTCCTGTGTATTTTATACCCTTTAGGCAAATGATTTGTGTACATTTTGTTAGTTTCAGATTTTGAAGCGAGCTCCCTCTATTAGAGTGTGTCCTCATGTCCAACCTTCCCTGTCTCCCACTCACTGATCTGCACTCTACCAAGCCTGGGTCTCCTCCTGCCATCTGCGGGGCTCTCTCTCTGAACAGTGTTCTGCCACCCACCATGTTCTCTGGTCTTCACACATCTGGGCCTCTCTGGATTTCCAGCTCCCTTTCCTCAACTCCAAATCTACCTGGTTCTACTCAAACCCTGTGGCCTGGAGACTCCCTTAGGGAAGTGTCTGAGTGTGCATTCATCAAAGGGCTCCTTTCAATCATTTTTCCTCTCATTAGTCACTGCCTTTGCTGTCTGCTGTCAAACAGCTTAAAATGTGTTTAAGAAATTTTACTGTGAAAGAAACAATCAAACCCATCAAAAAGTGGGCAAAGGATATAAACAGACACTTTTCAAAAGAAGACGTATATGAAGCCAATGAACATATGAAAAAATGCTGAGCATCACTGGTCATTAGAGAAATGCAAATCAAAACCACATTGAGATACCATCTCACACCAGTTAGAATGACGATCATTAAAATCTCTGGAGTCAACTGATGCTGGAGAGGATGTGGAGAAATAGGAGCACTTTGACACTGTTGGTGGGAGTGTAAATTAGTTCAACCATTGTGGAAGACAGTGTGGCAATTCCTCAAGGATCTAGAAATAGAAATTCCATTTGACCCAGCAATCCCATTACTGCGTAGATATCCAAAGGATTATAAACCATTCTATTATAAAGACACATGCACATGTATGTTTATTGTGGCACTGTTTACAATAGCAAAGACCTGGAACCAACTCAAATGCTTATTGATGATAGACTGGATAGGGAAAATGTGGCACATATACACCATGGAATACTATGCAGCCATAACAAATAATGAGTTTTTGTCCTTTATAGGGAAATTGGTGAAACTAGAAACCATCATTCTCAGCAAACTGACACAGGAACATAAAATCAAACCCACATGTTCTCACTCATGGGGTTGTTGAACGATGAGAATGTGGACACAGAGAGGGGAGCATCACACACCAGGGACTCTTCTGCAGGGCTAGGGGAGGCATAGTGGAAGAGATAAAATGGGGAGAAATGTCAGGTATAGGTGATGGGGGAACGGAGGCAGCAAACCACCTTACCATGAATATACCTATGCAACAATCCTGCATAATCTGCACATGTACCCCAGAACCTAAAGTACAATTTTAAAAAAAGTTTTCACTGTGGTTTCCAGCTATTTCATGTGGAAAGATACATCTGTTCTCAGTTGTTACAACTTGTATGAAGGTGATCATCTTCAACACAGATACTCAAACTAATGTTATGATGTCTACTGAGGTTTATCTTGCAATATTTACATATAGATATCCAACAGACACTTTTGTAGAAATCATACAGCTTATATATATTATACATACATTATATATAACATATACTATATAGATAGTATTTGGCAAAACGGCCACATGGTTAGGGTTACACACGGAGGCTCTGCCCCATGTGGGTCCCTGCTTTGGCTGGTTAGGGTTAGTGTTTCCATCCTCAAAGACACTGGCGCCGTTGATGTTCATGGCCTGCCACACCCTCTGTCTGTCCCTCAGTGTCCAGAATGGTGAAGCAGCTCCACAAAGGAGGGATGATCTCAAATTTTCCTATGGAGGAGACAGAAAAATATACATGGTCTTTGGTAAAATTAGCTACAGACCAATATTCCTAATATACAGAAATAAACCACCTGCCCGATAATAATCGACTATCTTCCACAAGACTTAAAAATAATCGTGCACCATTACCAATTCAAATTTACTTTTTATATGAAGCAATAATTCAACGTCCTCAAATCAATAAATTTGGTACGCCAAATTAAGAGAATAAAAGAAAAAATTCCACTAACTTCTCACCAGACCCAAAAAATTACATTTCCAAATTCAAAGTTTCATGATAAAAACTCTATACAAAGTAGTCATACAAGAAAATAACCTGTAAATAATAAAAGTCATTATGAAAAACCATAGCTATTAACCTACTTACTGGTGAAAGATTAAAATATTTTGTTCCAATATTCATAACAAGGCAACAATAAACTTGGAGACATCTTACTTCTAAATTTCAAAATTAATGACAAAATTGAGTAATAAAAACAAGATGTTATGGGCATAAATATATGTAGAGAGGTCAGAAATAAGCTGATATATTAATGACAAATTAATTTCCAAGGTGAAAACCAAGAATATATAATGGCTAAGTCATAGTCTCTCCCAAAGAGGGTATTGGAAAAGCTGGATTTACACATGAAAAGAATTAAGAATTTTGGGTTAGAATTCATAAAAAATCAATTCTAAATGAGTTAAAGTGTTACATGTATGGCCTGCCATTGTAAAATTTTCTCTCCAGCCAAAAAAAAAATAGAAATGATTTTCTAGATTTTACCTTAAAAGCACAGACAACAAAAGCAAAATTGAACAACTGGGACAACATCAGAATAGATCCTACAAAGCAGGGAAAACATTCCAACCTACAGAAGGAAGAACATGGTTGTAAGTCACGCAACTGAAAAAGTGTGAACATCCAAACTATAGATATACATTTTAAAACTCGAAGGAAAAATTATCATAGCCTAATTGTAAGGTGTTCAGTTTTACACCTCACAAAACTGTAAGAACATAAATCTCATGTTAAAGCTCCTCTCCCTGGGCAGGTGTACATTTGAGGGTACATTTGGCTAGGTTAGACTTTGTAGTTAGTTAATCCAACACTAACCTAGGTGGTGCTGTAAATACACTTCATCAATGTTATTAAAAGTGTCATCAGCCGACTCTAGGTTAGGAAGATTGTCACTGATAACCTGGGTGGGCCTGATTCCATCAGCACAGAACTGGAGTAGGTGACATTCCATGGTGATTGTCACTTCAGCTCTCTCTGTGACGTCCAGCCTGCACTTACTGATGACTTGTCTCATGGACATAGTACTTCCCTTGCCATCCCCTCAAACTGTCATCCTCTTCATCTCACAGAAAAGTGGCACAACCATCAGTAGTTTGTCAAACCTGAAAAGTAGACAGAAATAAAAACAAAAAAAATATTTATTTGAGGATGGCCTCACAATGGGAACCTGCATGGTGCATTCATGGAAAGGAAGACTGGGGCTTTGAAGGAAAAATGAGGAGGGTTACATGAACAGTCTTGAGATAATTATCCTGAGCTAAAAGGACGAACAACAAGGGTGACGTCAGTGTGAGGTAGGACAGGCAGTTGCTGGGCAGATGTACTTGGAGAAGAAATTACTTTATAGCTGTCTTGGCCTTTGTGCAGGGTTGTGGTTTTGCAGTCTATTTACAAAAGTCCTTGTTATCAGGGATGAGGGTGAGAACCCTCCATCATGGCCTTCTCCAGCTTCATTCACTGGTGGCTCCATTTTAATTCTGACAACATTGACGCCCACTTCATGACGCTACTGCTGAAGAAGGTGACTCAATGAGAGTTTGCCCAGCACAGGATCAATCCCAGATCCACATCTCATGTTGACCGAGCAAGCTTATCCCCTGCAGTTTCCACCAGCCAAGTGGACTCTCTGATGAGTCTAAGCACAACTCAGTGCAGGGTCCTGAGCAATGAGGATGACTAAAGTCCCATCAGGCTTCCACATGTGGCTGCACGAGCCACAGCCAGAGACTCACCTGAGCTCCAGGAAATAGAGCATGAGCCCTGGAATTTAGACCATAGAAAGCACATTTTACTTTGCGGGAAGCAGGAAAAGCCAACGATAAAGGAAGAACAACAACTAAAAAGAAAGAGGAAAAACAGACGGCAGGCAAAAGCATCGCCAGATCAGTGCTGATTGTGATTTGCATACTTTACTGTCAGAAGGTTTGGAGGTGAAACCTGTGAGGGTCTATATGACACTGACCCTGGCCCAGCCTCTCTCCTGGCTGTAATCAGAATTTCTAAAGACTGTTCTAGTCAGAGAATCTTTCTGAAGTTCCTATCCTGACTCTGATTGGAGAAGACTCCCCAGGAAGCCCTGAGCTACCTCAGGACTCTGATCGTGCTGACTCTGGTGGAGGACTTTCCATCTCTGAAGGCGTCAATCTGCATTTTGTGCATCTGAGAACAGCTTCTTACAGTAAAATAATTATTTAAAAAATATGCAGAGATGACACTGGTAAGCACAGAATTCTGAACTTAGAGAAGTTCACTGAAGAAACTGTAAAAAGACAAAGTCCCACATCCTGACGGGAAATCAGCCTCCATCTGCACCCGCCTCTGGGGTTCACTCTGATCAGTGGCTCCTGAGCGCCCCCTGCAGCTCATTTCCCCGAGTGTTCCTGCAGGAGGTTTGTGTCTGGGCTCACACTGACTTCCCCTCACTGTGTCTCTCGCACAGTAATACACGGCCGTGTCCTCGGCTCTCAGGCTGTTCATCTGCAGATACAGCGAGTTCTTGGCGTTGTCTCTGGAGATGGTGAATCGGCCCTTCACGGAGTCTGCGTAGTATGTGCTACTACCATCATATCTAATGGCTGAGACCCACTCCAGCCCCTTCCCTGGAGCCTGGCGGGCCCAGCCCATGCCATAGCTACTGAAGGTGAATCCAGAGGCTGCACAGGAGAGTCTCAGGGACCCCCCAGGCTGAACCAAGCCTCCCCCAGACTCCACCAGCTGCACCTCACACTGGACACCTGCAAACACAGAGACATCCTGGTCAGAAACTGCCACAAATATCAACCGTTTATCTCACTCTTATCACTCACACTCAATTTCAACAGTTCTCCATGAATTACCTTTTAAAATAGCAACAAGGAAAACCCAGCTCAGCTGAGTCTTCATGGTGAGTGCTCTGTGTGCCTCCTGATCAGCAAGCAGAAGCACCTGGGAATCCTGGTGTGGGCTCCTCTCCCAGAGCTGCAGCGTCAGGGCTGTGCTGATTTTCATCAGCAGAGGGAGGGCCCTATTTGCATGTCTCCAGCTATATAGCAAGCTGTGGGGTGAGACACGTAAAGAGAAAGCAGGGCCCCGAGCAGATGAGGGTGTCCTGAGGAGAACTGGTGACAACACTGGGGTTTGAGAAAATGCACTTATTATTAAATTGTACTGTGATAGAAACTTTGCACTGATCACCTTATTTCAGTTTTATCTATGTGTGTAAATTATGTTCCCCAGGAGTCAATGTTCTCTATTTACAGATGTGAAAGTAAGCCCACACATGGACGGGCTTCGTATGTATCTCAGGGTTCATGTCTGGGATGAGCGAGTGCTGGTATCTGGGCCTGCGCTTCTCACCACCAGCCCTGACTCCTCCCTTAGCCAACTCCAGGACAGAGTTGCACATGCCTAGTGTGGTTTGCAGAAGATGCTGCTTGATCAGAATAGATGTGATTTTGCTGTATTCTCCTGTTTACCTAAAACTATGGGGAGAACTAGGGTTCAGATAGATCTCTGACAACGAACATACTGGCATCTATCTTTCTGCCACTCCTTCCTTGTCTGATACTCAACTTGTTTCTTTGTTATAAATTTTATAGGGTTTGACTGACAGATTATACACTTTACAGATTTAAAGTATAAAATTGATAATCATGACATAACTATTACCATTATCAAGAAAGTGAACAAGTTAAATCATCTCAACTTTTCTTCTGTCCTTCTACATTTTCTTATCCTTTCTCTTTCCCTTCTTCCAACATATTCACAGACAACTACTAATCTTTTTTTTTTTTTTGCTTTTTTTTATACTTTAATTTCTGTGGTACATGTGCAGATTATGCAGGATTGTTACCTTGGTATACACATGCCACAGTAGTTTGCTGCATCCATCTCCCCATCATCTACATTAGATATTTCTCCTGATGTTATTCCCTCCCCAATCCCCCACCTCCTGTTTCCCCAGCCCCCAGTCCCCCATCCCCTCCCTGTTTCCATATGTTCTCATTGTTCAACACTCACTTATGAGTGAGAACACGCAGTGTTTGGTTTTCTGTTCTTGTGTCAGTTTGCTAACAATGATTGTTTCAAGTTTCATCCATGTCCCTGCAAAGGACATGAACTCATTTTTTTAATGGGTGCATAGTATTCCATGTTGTATATGTGCCACATTTTCTTTATTCAGTCTATCATTGATGGGCATTTAGGTTGGTTCCAAGTCTTTGCTATTGTAAAAAGTGTCGCAATGAGCATACATATGCATGTGTCTTTATAATAGAATGATTTATAATCCTTTGGGTGTATACCCAGTAATGGCATTGCTGGGTCAAATAGTATTTCAATTTCTAGATCCTTGAGGAATTGCCACACTGTCTTTCACAATGTTGAACTTATATACACTCCCAGTAACAGTGTAAAAGTGTTCCTATTTCTCCACATCCTCTCCAGCATCTGTTGTCTCCAGATTTTTTAATGATTGCCATTCGACCTGGTGTGAGATGGTATCTCAATGTGGATTTGATGTGCATTTCTCTAATGACCAGTGATCATGAGCATTTTTTCATATGTTTCTTGGCCTCATAGTTGTCTTCTTTTGTAAAGTGTCTGTTCATATCCTATGCCCACTTTTGAATGGGTTTGTTTTTTTTCTGTAAATTTTCTTTTAGTTCTTTGTAGATTCTGGATATCAGCCATTTGTCAGATAGGTAGATTGCAAAAATCTTTCCCATTTTTTGGGTTGCTGCTTTCCTCTAATGATTGTTTCCTTTGCTATACAGAAACTCTGGAGTTTAATTAGATCCCATTTGTCTATTTTGTCTTTTGTTGCCATTGCTTTTGGTGTTTATACTCACTGTCCTACCAGACTCACACAATGCACCTGGTAACTCGTTTGGAATTGTGGAGACCACTCGGTTTCTGCACCTCTCTTGCTGGGAGCTGCTTTCTGGAGCTGCCTCTTATTCAGCCATCTTGGAATCGACCATTTCCTTTCTTTATAATTGGAACAGTCACAAAAATCTTCCCTTCCCAAAGTGTCTGTCTGAAAGAATATGAGAGACACTTCTGAAATGTGTCCAAGCCCAACTGTCTTGTCTTATCCCCACTACAGAACTAAGAAATTCCTCTGCAGGGGAAATCCACCAACACACGTACCCTAAAGGCACTGCTGCCACCTATCAGGAACGGAGATGGGAACGAGTTCCCCAACAAAATGGTACTGGGAAGCAGTTCCCCTGTTTCTTATGGGATCAGAGCCTTAGTCTGCAGGGCAGGGAAGTAGATCTGGAAGGTGATGGCACAGGTGGAGAACACTGGAGCTGTGGGAGGAAACACCTCGGGGAAAAAGGGAGACTCTACCCCAGGGGAAGGGGCAAGAAAACACAGACCAGCATGTCATCTAGAGAAGGGTCAGGAACAATCGCAAGCTCAGGCCCAGACACAGGGTCACAAAGCCTTCTTAGGAATATGGACCAAGGAATATGGACCTAGGGATATAGAGCCTTTAGTCTAATGCCTTGCACTGATTTAGAAATTGTCAGTAAACAAAACAAGTGCATGAACCTGAGGGAGCTGAAAGAGATTGTCTGGAGGACACACAAGGTGAAGAGACAAAGTCAGGTAGAAAAGACAAGGAAGATGCCATTGGAAGATCTGTAGTCTCTGGTGGACATAGAATAACAGACTTCAATTAGTTCTGAAAATTTTATGTCAGTCTTTAGTAATTTTATGTGATAAAACAGTCAGCCTCATCAATGGAATTCTTTTATGCCCATAACAGATGAGTATCTATGTGGCATGTGGTGAAGTTCTAGTCATGAGGACAGCAGAGATGGTCTGTTGAGGTGTTCCTAGACCTTCAGAGGAGAGTTGCAAAAATGTGTCTTCCCCACATCCAGCCAATATTTAATGCATGTGTGTGACCCCTGGGAATGCTGTCACCATTCAGTGCATAATGGGAGTCGCCTGGGAAGTGAAGCTGACTTCCGGATATATCAGTGTGGAAAGTTGAGAAATGAAACTTCCTGGGCACATGAGCTGTCAAATTATTCAATCCTGGAGGCTCTCACATCAAGCTTCGTGGATTGGCATAGTGGGCTGATACTGTCTACAGCCTCGCCTGGCCCCCTATGCCCTTTTCTGCCTCCTGCCTCTTCCCCAGACTCCACCACCTGCACCTCAGCCTAGACACCTACAAACATAGAGACATTTTGGTAAGAAACTGTTGCATATAATCATGTTTTTTCACTCATATCCACTCACACTCAATATCTCTAGTTCTCCATTATTTGCATTTTAAAATAGCAACAAGAAAAACCCAGCTCAGCCCTAACTCTGGTTAGCCATCTGTGTTCAGAGCTGATCATCAAATCAAAATTCCTGGTAATTCTGACTGGGGCTCTTCTCCAGAGCTGTAGGGTCAGGGCTGGGCTGGTTTTCATCAGGAGGGGGAGGGTCCTATTTGTGTCTCCTCCTCTGTAGCAAACTCTGAGGAGAGAGCGAAGCCCAGAGCAGACGTGAGACTCCTGAAGGAGTGTAGCGGTGATGGCATCATTCGGGAAACATAATTTCTTATTATGTGATTTTCCCATTAAAATTACTAAGCAATTATTTTATTTCTATTTTACATACTTGTAAAAATAGAAGTAAAAGTATATTGATCAGCTTAAAGAGATATGAAGGTAGAAATAGAAAACAATAAAAAAGAGGAGACTCCAACACCTCACCCTCAATAATGTATAGAACATCCACAAAAAATTCTTAGGAAGCCAGTGGATTTACCCAACGCTATTGAACAAACTGACATAATAGACATCTACAGAACCTTCCAACTAAGAGCAGCGTAATATGCATGCATCCTAAGCACACAATAAATATTCTTCATGATAGGTGTATGTTAGATAAAAAATGAATTTCAAAATTAAAAGAATAATAATGCCAACTATTCTCTAACTTTTTCAAAAATTGGTGAGGCTCCAACCTTCTCAACTCTCTCTAAAAGGCTACAATAACCATATTACCAGTAATAGACAATGGCAAAAGAAGAAAGTTACACTTCAAATTTTCTTAATATGCATAAATAAACTACTCCCAGTAATAGTCGATTACATTCTAGAGGACTTTAAAAGGATCATACACTGACTGGGTGCAGTGAGTCTCACCTGTAATAATAGCACTTTGGGAGGGTGAGCTGATGAACCACCTGAGGTCAGACATTTAAGACCAGCAGGGCCAATATGTTAAACTTGTCTCTACTAAAAATACAAAAATTAGCCAGGTGTGGTGGCACATTCCTGTAATCCCAGCTATTTGGGAGGCTGAGGCAGAAGAATCACTTAAGCCTGGGAGGCGGAGGGTGCAGAGAGCCAAGATTGCACCACTGCCCTCCAGCCTGGGCGACAGAGCAAAACTCTGTCTCAAAAATAAAAAGAGGGCATTATACATCATAGGAAACTAAAATTTATTTTTGAGATGCACAGATGACTCAACATCCTCAAGTCAATACATTTGGTGTGCTTATTTAAGAGAAAAAAGAAAAAAATTCCATTAACTTCTCACTAGACACAGAAAATAACATTTAAAAATCAAGATTTCATGATAAAAACTCTAAAAAGTAGAAATAAATGAATATAACCTGTACATGATAAAAGTCATCATAAAAAGCCATATCTGTTATCATACTTAATTAGTAAAATGTTAAAATATTTTGCTAGAGTATCTGTAACAAGGCAAGAATAAACTTGAAGGCATTTTACTTCCAGATTCCAAAAGTAATTACAAAAGTAGAGTAATATAAACAAGATGGGATAGGAAGAAATATATATTGAGAGTTCAGAAATAAACTGATACACCGAGGACAATCTGATTTTCAGCATGAGAACCAACAATATACAACGGATAAACCAAAGTCTCTCCCTAAGAGGGTGCTGGCAAAACTGGATTTACACATGCAAAGAGTTAAGAATTTTAGGTTAGAACAAACACAAAAATAAACTCTAAATGGGCTAAATAGTTAAATGCCTAACCTGCAGTTGTACAATTTCCCTCACCCAAAAATAATGTTAACAGAGATTTCCTATATTTCACATTAAAGGCACAGACAACAAGAGCAGATTTGAACAAGTGGATCTTCCAGCAGCCACTAAGACTTCCCACAGATGTCTTCAGCTTTCTATTTTCTGCCCCTCCCAGTAGACGAGGCTACTATTCCTGAGGAAATGAGAGGACATGGGAGATGAGGCTGTCATTCCTGAAAGAATGGACAGAGCTTTGAAGCTTTTCTTTCTTCTATCTCGATCTTTAAAAAATAAGGTAGAGATAATATTAGGAAGCACAGAATTCTAAATTTAGAAAGATTCACTAGAGAAACTGTAAGAAGATGAAGTCCCACATCCTGACGGGAAACCAGCCTCCATCTGCACCTGCCTCTGGGGTTGACGCTGATCAGTGGCTCCCGAGCGCCCCCTGCAGCTGATTTCCCCGAGTGTTCCTGCAGGAGGTTTGTGTCCGGGCTCACGCTGACTTCCCCTCACTGTGTCTCTCGTACAGTAATACACGGCCGTGTCCTCGGCTCTCAGGCTGTTCATCTGCAGATACAGTGAGTTCTTGACGTTGTCTCTGGAGATGGTGAATCGGCCCTTCACGGAGTCTGCGTAGTATGTGCTACCACCATTATAATTAATGTATGAGACCCACTCCAGCCCCTTCCCTGGAGCCTGGCGGACCCAATTCATCCAGTAGTAACTGAAGGTGAATCCAGAGGCCGCACAGGAGAGTCTCAGGGACCCCCCAGGCTGAACCAAGCCTCCCCCAGACTCCACCAGCTGCACCTCACGCTGGACACCTGCAAACAAAAAGAAACCCTGGTCAGAAAGTTCCATAAATATCCACCATTTTTCTCACTCTTATCACTCACACTCAATTTTAATAGTTCTCTATGAATTACCTTTTAAAATAGCAACAAAACCAACCCAGCTCGGCTCAAACTCTATGGTGAGTTCAGTCTCTGTCTTCAGTCGTGATCACCAAATGCAACCACCTGAAAATCCCATGACTGGGTTCTGCTCCCAGAGCTGCAGGGTCAGGGCTGGGCTGGTTTTCATCAGCAGAGGGAGGGCTCTATTTGCATATCTCCTGCTATATAGCAAGATCTGTGGTGAGAGGCGTGAGGAGAGATCGGGGCTCAGAGCATGGGACAGTGTTCTGGGGGAGATTTGTGACATTGATAGTATTGGGAAATTGTGGTTTCTTATTGTAAGTTTGTTCTGTGAAAAACCCTTAAAACCTATGAAACCTATATATTTTAATTTCTATTTTGAAACAGTTTTATTGAGGTACAATAAATCTATATAAATCACATATATTTAAATTTAGCACCAATCATCTTTTATGTTTACATATGCAGAGAAAACATGGTATGTGGTATCAATGTTATTTCCATGTTACAGGTGAAAAATTACCAGGAAAATCACAGGTGGGTGGCACAATGTCCCCAGAGCTCACATTTGGTCAGAGTGCACCTGTGTACCTGGGCCTGTGCTTCTCAACACTGGACCCAACTTCTCCCTGAACCAAGCGTAGCACACGGTGGGTGGCACCTAGTGAGGTTTGCAGAACCTTTTCTCTGTAATGAAAACATGGTGTGATGCGTACTCACTGCTGTGACTACCTAACAAATGTAAAGAAAAGCGCATTTTCTACAGTTGCATTTTCTCAAGTGTCATACATATTTTATATTTGTGTCTATCTTGTCATCAATCTTTAACAAATTACCCATCCGCTTATTGGCAATACCCTTATTGAGGCATTATTGCTTTAGAATAAATACTGCATAGTTAGTGTGTGCAGTTGAATGAGCACTGAAGCCGAGCCTGGTGGTGCACATCTGTGGTCCCAGCTATGCAGGGAAGAGGGAGCAGGATTGCTGCAGATCCAGGGTCTGAGGGTGCAGAGAGCTGTGATATCACCACTGAGCTAGAGCCTGGATGACAAAGCAAGACCATGTCTCCAAAGGAAAACACGTCACTTCACATGTGCTCACCTATGCAGCCCATATAACAATCAAGATACCAATGAACTACACTTAAAATCTTCCGTCTCTTCCTTTGATTCCTGCCTCCCAGTCATTTCCCTCTTATTACACTGAGACAGACTTTCATCTTTGTTACTTTAGATCTCTTTTTCAAGATTTGTTAAAGTGAAATCTTGTAGCTTCAATTTCATTTCTGTGGCTTCTTCCTCAGCCTAATTACATGTGAGTCAGTAATTTGGTTGTGTATAAAAAAAATGTGTCGATCCTAATGAGGAGCAGCATTGCAGTTAATGAGAGCACCCCTATTATTTCTTTATAAAGCACCATAATATTTGTGTTATTTCTAGTTTTTAGTATTAAAAATAAAGTTTATACTCAGCATGGAGATACAGGCATCCAAGAAAAGTATGTTATTTTACAACCGATCTTACCGAGCTGCAAATTGGCGTGTTTTCTTTGGTACATCAGATTATTGATGTTATAGGACAAACAAGAGACCTTACATCTTGAGAAACTCAGTGATTTACAAAAACAAACAGGGAGAGAATATGACCGTATGTAGGGCAGAGGCCAGCAAATGTCATATAAGAGAAAACAACATTAAACTGAACATTTTCTTTAAATTATTTAAAATTTAGTGCGGTGAAGTTATTGTTTAAATTTTCAGAGCACGCACAACTGAGGGATTCCTACGGCTACTGAAACCTTTTCTGCCAGGATTGAGGATATGTCACAGAAATCTCCACCCTCTACCTCCCGAGATGCTTCTGTGTGGGAAAACGGAAGAGCAGCTGTGGCTGAAATGCATCCAGACCCACCTCCCCTGCCACCACTGCATTACCAAAGCTCTCACCTGCAGGGGCAAAGGCGCTAACACCTCTGTGTTGCAGGCACTGGAGGAACTCATAGAAACTGGGATAGAAGAAAGAAAAGCTCCAAAGCTCTGTCCATTCTCTTAGAAATGACAGCCTCATCTCCCACCTCCTCTCATTTCCTCAGGAATAGCAGCCTCATGGAAGGGGCAGAAAAAAGAAAGCTGAAGACATCAGTGGGAAGACTTTGCGGCTGCTGGAAGATCTGGAAAAAAAAACAACCAAGGATAGACTCTCTCCAGGGAAGAAAGGAAGCCACATGGATCAGCATTGCACCTGCAGGAGGGGCAGGGATACTTGGAAGGACACACCCTGAGCCAGGACTGTGATGTCAGCCCGGAGTTTGCCCCCTCAGAAAAGCAGAGAGTGCCCGTTCGGTGCAACCCTTCCCACCTAATTGTCAACACTCAGGTCCACATGCCTCTGGCACGACCTGGGGGATCTGAAAGACAGAGTCTCTCTGTTTAGCACAGGATTAAGGCCCAAAGCCAAGCAGGAAATAAAATTCAGGTGCCACTGGAGGAATCTGAGTGTCTGGTGTCTGCAGAGGAAACACACTTCAGTTCTGGCAGCCACTGGGACAATGACTTTCAAATGTATCCCTGATTAGTTTCACACAATTTCCTACAATAAATGCCTAGATAAGATAGGGTGTGATCATCTACAAAAATTGCAAAAATCATAAAACAAATAATTAGAGGATATAAGGAATCTGAGAGAAGTATCTGGGGAACATTAATTTTAAATAATTTGCCTAAGTACTTTTAAACATTTACACTTGATCCCTCAGTCTATATGTAACTCTGTAAGGAATTGCCAATATGTGTTTAATTTTATTCATACTTTATTAATATCATGCTTGTGAATATATAAAAGACCAGAGAGTAGCTTTTCTTAGAAGTATTGATAAAAGTCCAACTTTGCAAAATACTTAGAGAGATTTATTCTGAGCCAAATGTGAGGACCATGCCCTGCAACACAGCCCTAGAAGATCCTGAGTAGCTTATAGGAACCTGTCTTTGCCAGGGTATTGGAAATTATTTGCTGAGGTAACCACATTGAAGTGGAGACTTGAAAGATGCCAGATTCCTCTCTGAAAACCTTTTCTCTTGACGCTAGAAGTAAACTTACCAGAAACAAATGTTAGCATTTCTTCTGTGTTCAAAATTGCCACCCATTGGGAACATAATTAAACGTGGGGGGCTTATCTTTACAAACAAATAGTCCAGTAGATTTCTAAAATCCATTACAAACCCAACGATTCTGATTCATTTGCAGATTATGCAGAACATCCCACCTAATAGGAATCTGCAGTTAACTGGATTCCCCTGCATTGGGGTTTTGTAATGTTTAAGTTATGTAGATACAGAATACTACAAAACCTGTAAGGGGTACATGTGATATTTTGATAAAAGATTATTATGTGTAGTGATCAAATCTGGATAACTGGAATATGCTTCAACTCAATAATCGATTATTTCTTTGTGTTAAGAACATTCTAAATATTGTTTTCTACTTTTCCTGAAGTATACACTAAAATATTAACTGTAGTTGTCTATGTGCCATTTCAGAATTTCCACCAGCAAGGAGTGAAAGTTCCTAGCAGTTTCTCAGCTTCCTCCTCA